CTGCATTTAAATAAATAAATAAAGAGTTATATATGTAAAAATTTAAACTTTTAAATAAAGTTCAACTCATTGACGCTTAATCTTTTTATTATCGAATATCTATATTGAAATAGCATTTCTTGTGCCTTTTCATTGAGCTGGCTTCAACAACTTGTATATTAAACTCACTTTCATCCACCAAATATTATCCATTCATAAAAAATTATGTCGGACCAATCAATAAATTCACTCAAAATATAATCTTTCAACTTTGCTCTCTCTATCGTGTCGAGCAATAGTTCGATTGACATTGTTATTTTGTTTTGTTTTGAGCACATTTACGCGTAAACATATATCTAATATATATATATGCACACAAGTCGTGGTCGTCGGTTAGATGATATCATAACAATTTTTTACCTTTTCTTGTTTCATTTGATCGTTCTTGGTGGGGAAGGAACCTTTTGAAATGGACAAGCACTCTGCACTTAGATATTTCTCTAAGGTCATTTTATAAATAATTGCATGCATGAATCCTCTATGTGTTAGATAATTGTCTCAATGTGAGAAAAATATATTCATTTATATCTTTAAAATGATTCTTCTTTTTTCCTCTTTAAAAGTTTTAATAATTAAAAATAGACGAGGTTTTCCATCAAAAAATCGTGTCATGAATTAATGTGTAAACAATTTGAGAATTGAGTAAGTGCTTGTGAGGAAGTAATTTTTTTTTTTTTTCAAAATTACTTTTCACCACACTCATTTTCAATCATACATTTTAAAAAAAAAAAAACATTTTTCACGTTTTTCCATAATTTATTCTTATTTCTTATCTATATATTCTCAAGAAAAAAACAGAGTTCAAGTAATCTTCTACACGAGGGCTAAATGACATTCTCTGCTCTACTAAAACGTACAATAAAAAATTTAAATTAAAGGAAAAGGAAATGAATAAATTTTACTTGACGTATCTTACAACCAAAAATTCTCGGGTTTAACAAAATTTGAGTCCAAACAAACAAAAATTAAAAAATAGGGACTAAATGTAGCCAACTTAGGTATCCAAGGGCCTCACTTTGTAATTCATTGAAGATTAGGATAATATTAGAAAATTGGATGTGGTGGGTCAAGTTGGGACCCGGATATAATGAAGCGGGTATGAACGGGACCAGGTTCGTAATGGCTTAAGATGAATTTAAATACGATTACAAAAATATCTCCAAATATAAGTGATAAGATACATTTTCCTTTAAAAAATTATAGAGATTATTTTATACAACTAATCTTTCTTTTCACGGTTTTTAAATTTTTCAAAAAATAAAGACTACTCATAACACGGTCCAAACGTGTTTGTCATATACTATACAACATTTTTGTGAATAATCAATAAGAAAATCTTTTTCTTTTAAATATGTTCAATATTTTTACGATTCAATGTATCGAATACATTACAATTTTTTTTTTTTTTTAATTTTGTAAAGCAGGCAAGATTTATATAGACAAATAAAAGATGGGAAGAATACATAAATAAAGTATTTACTTTTATCAATTTCAAAAATACCAAAACATGTTTTCAATTTCAAAAATCAGATTTCTTTAAATTTTTAATTATGAAATAATAATTATTNTCAATTTATTGGTCACAATTAATAATTTTTAGGTCACAAATTAATAATTTTTAAGTCACAATTAATAATTTTTTGAGTCATGGAGTATTTCTTAGTCACAATTTATTATTATTGGTCACACACCAACAAATTTATTGGTCACAATTTGTGACCACCACCAACACACCACCACCATCGTCAACACCAACACATCACAGCAACAAAATCCTCGTTCCAATGCCGACGATTTAACCACCACCACTGCACCAAACTGTCCCACCACCACCTTCACTGCGCCGCCGCGCCTGATCCATCACCACCACCACCCCACAGTTCCCAACCACAACTGAAAACACAGCCCACCACCGTCCCCTACCAGATCACGGTGGTATAGATCTCCTGACCGCAACACAAGAAAAAACCTAATCACCGCACGACGCACGCAACAACATCACGTATTTCTCCAGCAACGGGAATAAGCTGGTGAATCGACGCCGTTTGCAGCGTTGTCTTTCAGTGGAGGCGTTGTAGTGGCGGCGAAGGGAGGCGTTGCAGTCTCTTAACCGGACGTCCTAGCCAGATTGTCTTTCGCCGAATGGGTGGAAAACAACGGATCTAACCCGTTCTTTGCTACTTCACCGGATGGGAGAGAGAAAAGAACGGTGCAGACGATAGAGGGGAGTGGAGGCGGCGATGGGTGGAGATACTGGAGACGATGAGAGGGTAGAAATGGGGGAGGGTTGGAGTGACGGTCGGTTTATTCCTATTAGGGTTTGATTAGATTAATTATATAAAAAAAAATTTTTAAAAATTTTAAATAAAACCTGATTTTTGCAATGTTAAACTTGTAACCTTATTTGTGAAATTGAAAATCTAAAAGCAGGTGTAGGTGTAATTTCCTCATAAAAGATTTTAAGTCAATTAAGTACTTCTTGAAAGTAGAGTAGTCCAAGATTGAATTCATTTGAGGCTCGACCCAAAATTGTGGCAAATTAAGAAGTCTATTCTTTACAATTGGATTCTCTTTTAAGACATTCACAAATGGGCTTAATATATCTAAATCTGCACCTGTAGCCCAATTAAGAGTCCTGTCCAGTCCTTGCAAAGAGATTTAAGGGCCCAATCGACTACAGTTTTGAAAAATCGAAAGCGATTTCTGAAATTAAGAAGTTGCTCTTAAACACGTTTAGCTAATTTTTTTTGGAAATACTTTGTTTGATATGAAATTTTTTAGAGGAAACTGGTCTAAAATAACTTTATCATAAAGATCTTTCTATAACATGCATGATCCTATCAAACGAGTCCTAATTAACCCCTATTTGGTATATATTCTTTAAATCTCTTTTAACTCCTATTTGGTATATATTCTTTAAATCTCTTTTTCTTGAAACTCGTTTTGAACTATGCATTTTTCAATAAAATAATTTTGCATGTAGATCAATAAATTTTTTCATACTTTTTAACCACACATTCTTTAAAATAAAAAAAAAAAAAATTTATTTTTCACAAAAAAATCTCCCCTTAACTATGACAATTAAGGCTTACATATAAATGATATAATCATATTCACAGCCCACGATCGTGGCCAGGCAAGGTTCATATTCATGCTGTAGTTACTGAAGTTTCATTTGGCTTAAACACATTTAATGAATAGTTATTAATGGAAACGTTAATATTATACAAACTTATGGCATAGCTGCTAGTTGAATCCGACCATTCGTCTTTACAGCAAGTTTGGTGTTCTCAGTGTATCAAGACTAAAATGTTTCTTGGTATTCTGTCCAATCTAACGTATTTAAGCTGCATATTTAGTAAAATACGGTAATCAACCCAAATATGGATCTCAAAAACCTTGTAACAATTTGGTTCTCAATTCTCCTCATCAAGATTGTTACCACGCATCCACTTCCACCATTCTCTTGTGTCTGTAGGGCGGGATAATTTCGAATTTGAAATTTGAATTAAAGTTATGAATAGTAATAAGATGACGTGTGCTATCCAATTTGCATCCAATTTCTCGATAAGGAACTGTTAAATAATGAATATACACTCCTATTTAAATACAAAAAAATATTTTTTAATTTCTAATTCTTTAGCAATTTATTTGGGACTCGTTTACATTTTTTAATTTTTTTTGATTTTTAAATAAATTTAATTGGGAATCGTTTTCAATTTTTAAAAAATTGGAACTATGATTGCAATTAATTATTTAGTTTTTTATTTAAATGCGAGGGTATATTCGTCATTTCACAATTTTTAATTGAGAAATTGGATGACAAAAAAATAGAAATGATTGTTTGTGCAATCAAATGCATAATTAAGAGTGAAAATGTAAAAAAAAAAATGTAGGGACTTTTTTTGCAATAATNACAATTACTTATTCATTGAGAAAATACCATATAGGAAGGGCTGATTTGTAGATGAGGAATTAGCATACCGACTTGCTTTCATCCTTTCTCGTTTGGAAACATACTCAAATTGGATCCTTTCCATTTCAAGCTAGAAAAAGATTTTAATTATGTAAAACAAAAACTTAACGTTGCTATCACAAGAATTGCAAAACCTTATGGAAATCCTAATATTCTTGTAGAATTTATAGTCGGACAATTAAAGAATAGAGTTTCATTTCATAATTTTTTATCAAGAAAAAGGTTGAAAAGGGCCTCCTGCGTAATGAAAGGTAAATATAAGGGGTGAAAATGTCAAAAAATGAAAAGTATGAACGTTTTCCACAATAATAGTGAAATGTGAGAACGTTGAAATATATATTGAATTTCAGTTTTGCTATATTTACATTTTGATTGATATTCCATAATGTGGCACACAAATTTGTCATGAATTTTAATAAAATTTAGAACAATCAACGGTCTCGATTTTTACACATCATAAAATATCAACCATAATGTATAAATGAAATGTACAAGTAGCTTAATTCATTGAATTTTACCTCCAAATCCCAATAGAAGTACGGAGCAATAAAATTCATCACTAATTGATGGAAAAAAAATTATCATAATTTAATATTTTATTTGTAATTTTTTTTATTTGCATTAAAGAATTCTGAAATGGACAGAATTTGTTCGAATTAGCTGTACTTCTACCAGAAATTCCGAAATTAACGATGCCGAAGAAAATTAGAGGGCCCCTGAAAAATAGTGTTAAACGGAGCGCTACAGTTACTGAAGTTTCATTTGGCTTAAATACGTTAATGACATTTAATAAATGTTATTAATGGAAACGTTGTTATTATACAAACTTATGCATAACTGCTAGTTGAATCCGACCATTCGTCTTTACAGCACGTTTGGTGTTCTCAGTGTATCAAGACTAAAATGTTTCTTGGTATTCTGTCCAATCTAACGTATTTAAGCTGCATATTTGGTAAAATACGGTAATTAACCATTTAACCCAAATATGGATCTCAAAAACCTTGTAACAATTTGGTTCTCAATTCTCCTCATCAAGATTGTTACCACACATCCACTTCCACCATTCTCTTGTGACACCACAAATCCATCAACCAATTCATTTACATTTTGCAACACCTCATTACCAATCAGTAAACGAGTCGACGACTTGGTGTCGAGTCTCACATTGGATGAGAAAATATCTCAGCTTGCTAATAAGGCATACGCCATCCCTCGCCTTGGCATCCCCTACTACCAATGGTGGTCGGAGGCTTTGCACGGTGTTGCCGCCGCTTATAGAGTCCAAAATGGGGTCATGTTCAATGGGACCATTCGAGCAGCCACCAGTTTTCCTCAAGTCATTCTTACTGCTGCTACATTTGATGACAAGTTGTGGTATCATATAGGTGAGGCAATTAGTACAGAAGCAAGGGCAATATACAATGAAGGAGAAGCAATAGGAATGACATTTTGGGCCCCAAACATAAATATATTTAGGGACCCTAGGTGGGGTAGAGGGCAAGAAACCCCTGGAGAAGACCCTTTGGTTAATGGAATATATGCAACGTCATTTGTTAGAGGACTTCAAGGGGATAGTTTAGAAGGTGGTGACCTTCCATACGAGAAACTCAAAGTTTCTGCATTGTGTAAGCATTTGGCTGCATATGATTTGGAAAAATGGAATGGAACTATTCGTTACACCTTCGATGCTCATGTAAGCCACTTGCTCGATTGGTACATAGTTGTGCTTAAAAGTTGCATTTTACGTCCTTAATAGGACACACTACTCATTTATATATTTCTGTGCGTTTGACGAGGTTGAATAGGTGACGAAGCAAGATATGGCAGATACGTACCAGCCACCTTTCAGAAGCTGTGTTAAGGATGGTCGAGCAAGCGGGATAATGTGTGCTTACAATCACATTAATGGCGTCCCAAACTGTGCTGATTATGATCTCTTAACGAAAACTGCTAGAGGAGAATGGGGTTTCAAGGGGTAAACTTTTTATTATTCAAAAGTTTATTTAGAAGAAATTTCGCCTTCCTTGGTGTTTCTAACTTAATTGAGAATAATCAGGTACATAACATCAGATTATGAAGTAACGAGATATATGTATGAGACACAAACATTCTTAAAATTGCCTGAAGATGTTGTAGCTGATGTTCTTAAAGCCGGTACGATAGATCAGTTTCAAGTATCTTGCAACTATTCGATAACTTTTCCAGCAATATTTTTCCAAAAGAACGAAAATATTTAATTTGCAGGACTGGATCTTGATTGTGGGACCTTTTTCCTTAAGAACAATACAAAGTCAGCAATTGAGATGGGAAAAGTATCTGAATCTGATGTAGACAGAGCCATTCACAATCTCTTTGCTGTGAGAATGAGATTAGGTCTCTTCAATGGCGATCCAAGCAAACAAAATTTCGGTGACATAGGACGAGATCAAATTTGTACAAAGGAGCACCGGGATTTGGCACTTAAAGCTGCTCGGGATGGGATCGTCCTTCTTAAGAACGAGGCCAAGTTCCTTCCTTTTTCAAAGGCCAAAACGAAGTCTCTTGCACTAGTAGGCCCCAATGCCAATAATTCGAAAACACTTATTGGAAATTATGCAGGCCCCCCTTGCAAAACCATTACTCCCCTAGAAGGGCTTGCAAGTTTTGTCAACAACATTAAGTTCCATGAGGGCTGCAAAACCACAAATTGCACTTCGATTTCCACCAATGAAGTTGTGACAATTGCCAAATCTGTAGATAATGTGGTGTTGATCATGGGACTCAATCAAGATCAAGAAAAGGAAACTGTTGATCGTGATGAACTCGTGCTTCCAGGTAAGCAAATGAGTCTTATAACAAGCGTAGCCAAGGCGGCTAAAAAGCCAGTTGTATTAGTACTACTTTGTGGAGGTCCGGTTGACATTTCTTTCGCCAAGAACAATCCAAAAATCGGAAGTATTTTGTGGGCTGGATATCCCGGAGAAGCAGGAGGCCAAGCAATTGCAGAGATTATATTTGGTCATCATAATCCAGGTGGAATTTATTGGCAAAACTTTAGTCATTCCCTTCAAGTTAAAATCAAAGCAACAAACAAGATTTTAGTTTCCTTTATCTCTTAATATTGTCCAGTACTAAATGTTGCAATTCTTACTTTTCTTCTGCAGGAGGGCGATTGCCTATGACTTGGTATCCAAAAGATTTTGTCAAAGTACCAATGACAGATATGAGGTTGCGGCCTGATCCAGCCTCAGGCTATCCAGGGCGAACTTACAGATTCTATAACGGAGAAAAGGTATACGAATTTGGATATGGACTTAGCTACACAAGGTATAGTTACGAGTTTGTTTCTGTCGGCCAAAACAAACTCGACTTCAAGAATGTGTCAACTACAGACAAGGCCAAAAACTCGGGTTACATTCCAGTCTCTGATATAGGTACAGAATCATGTGCTAAGGCAGTGTTTAATGTCGTCGTTAGAGTGAAAAATCATGGGAAGATGTACGGTAATCATCCGGTTTTGCTGTTTTTAAGGCGAAAAAAGGCCAATAATGGGAGTCCATTGAAACAATTGCTAGGATTTAACACAGTGCAATTGGATCCAAAAGAACACGTTGACGTTGAATATCCATTGAATCCATGTGAGGGTTTTAGTAGAGCTGATGAAAATGGAGAAATGGTGATTGATGGAGGGACTCAGTACTTAGCAGTGGGAGATGTAGAATTTCCTATTATCATTGATCTTTGATAGAAAACCATCAAATCTCTTGTTTCTCGGTTTGAGATAAGAATTTCAAAGGTGCAATGAAAGGAATTATGTTGTGTTTTCGTCAAATTATTTATATTTTCAACATGCTTGTCTGAAATTTCATAGAAACGACACAAATTGATTTTTAAACAAAACTTGTACAGTTATAAACGTCTGAACATAGTCATCAAACAAATTACCGCATATTTTATGGAATCCCAACTTTTATCAACTTTTCAATCACATAACTTTTATCAAAATTTGATTTTTATCATCAAAATCAAAAAGGGTTTGCAATAAAATTGGTAGGCAACAAAACTAAAATGCTAGTTCCCTCTTTATTTTCTTTTCCCTTTTCCAATTTTGAACCCTCCACGTGCTTAAAGCACTATTTTGATATCAAGTAGGTGTTATATTTAGACAATTTCTTTGTCTGTTGAAAGTTCATTATCTATTACCTAGATTTTTTTTTTTTTACTTTGTCCATTTTTCGATTAATAGTAGTTATATATTTTACAATGATAAAAAATAAATATGACAAGTCTCTTTTGGATAATTAGCAAAATTGGATTTTAATTATTAAAATATATCATAATGACACTTTATGACGTGTCTCTTTTATTTAATTGAAATATTCAAAAAAAAAAAAAAAACTATTCATCATTCTTGTGTGTAGTTTAACGTGTCTAAACTTCGAATAGGTTTTCAGGATTTTTTAAAAAGTCAAAAGTTGATTTTAAGATTAAAAAATTATTTTTGGATATGTTTGGATAATTTTATTATTCTTAAAGAGTAATGATATTTATCATCAAAATGATGAAATATCGATGATATGACAACCTATTATCCTCCACCATTTTCTCTCTCTCATCTCCCTCTTTCTTATAAAAATTGAACTGTCCAATCCCATTATTCTACGTAAATCGTCACATCATCAATGTTCCATCACCATATTGATAAATAATATTATTCTTTTTAAAAATGCTTGTGACTGATCTAAGGTACCGACGATACTAGTTTTTGATGAGAATGCCCGAGGAGTTTAGGGCCCATCTACGCCAGAATCTCATGACCTTCTCGGGATTTATGGTCCTCGAGCTCGGGCACTTTGGCCCAGCAGCTCTTTCTTGAGTTTGCTACCAAAGTCTCAGACCATGCGATCCTAACCTATTAGAAGCCTACTTCATGTTAAGACGTCTTAAGAAGCAAAGTCCTTCTGGGAATGTGTTACCTCATTTTAAGAGGATTCTAACACTAGAATCGCATCTCTATCCAAACACGTGGGTAATACAAAACCAATTGAGTTACAACTTCCAATCATATTAGGACTCCTAGGGAGTTCAACATTCTAATCCTACTAAGATTGCATCACATACCTCTATAAATACATGATTTCAATTCATTATCAATGTACGTTTTTTACATAATTCTTTGGCACATATTTTTTCATAAATTCTCTCTCTGATTTAAGTATCGGAGGAGCGACGAGGACACACCTCAACATTTTTGCTTCAGGTACCGGAAGACCTCGCTCGTGTTCATTCTCAGTCGTCAAGCTTGGAAGTCGACATGTGCGATTTTTGGTAGCATCAGGAACCTTTATTTTAAAACTCTTCTATAAAAAGGTTTGGCACTTCGTAAAGATATACAAGGATGACGTCATTAGGAGTAATATTACTTATCATTATAATGATGAAATATCGGTAATGTGACAACTTAATTGGAATAATGGGATGTGACAATTCAAATTTCATGATAGAGAGTGGGATTGAACTATCATATCCAATTATTTCATTTAAATTGTCATATCCCCATTGTTCCACAACGATAAATATCATTATCCTACTACATATAAAAGAGTGAGTTTTCACTGTTCATGCCACGTCATAGTCAACCAATGCGATGCCGTTTGGAGGGGTGTAAAATTGCTCGGCCTACTCTCATTCACGGCACTAAACGCTCTGTGAGAAACCAACAGCATCATCGCTTTCCTGTCTTTAACCCTAGCTACATTCATCTTCCGTCTTCCACCACTCTCAGCGCCGCTCGCCAGCACCACCATCACCACGCCGCCAGGTAAGTTCTCTCCATCCATGTGGATGGAGAGATACGGACGCCTCCCCCTACACCATCGCCCTAGACTCCTTCAATTTACTTTCATGAAGCTCTTACTTTTTATTATTATTAGTGTTGTTGTTGTTGTTGTTGTTGTTGTATCAGTTATGAAATTTCTTGCCATAATTTGTTTCTTGAAAATTAAATCGGAAGTTATTGTTGTCTTGTGCTGGAGGAGGGGTGTAAAATTGCTCGGCCTGCTCTCATTCACGGCACTAAACGCTCTGCGAGAAACCAACGGCATCATCGCTTTCCTGTCTTTAACCCTAGCTACATTCATCTTCCGTCTTCCACCACTCTCTGCGCCGCTCGCCAGCACCACCATCACCACGCCGCCAAGTAAGTTCTCTCCATCCATGTGGATGGAGAGATACGGGCGCCTCCCCCTACACCATCGCCCTAGACTCCTTCAATTTACTTTCATGAAGCTCTTACTTTTTATTATTATTATTATTAGTGTTGTTGTTGTTGTTGTTGTTGTATCAGTTATGAAATTTCTTGCCATAATTTGTTTCTTGAAAATTAAATTGGAAGTTATTGTTGTCTTATGCTGGGGGTTAGAATTTCGGGGAAAATCCAAATAGTTTGATTGTTTGTTGAAGTATGACATTATAAGGTTAGTTCTTGATAAAAATCTTGAGCTTCAGTAGTAAATATTTTCTTTTCGTTAGTTTGATTGTTTGTTGAAGAATGACATTTTAAGGTTAGTTCTTGATCAAACTCTTGAGCTTCAGTAGTAAATATTTTCTTTTCGTTATTTGGATGAATCTTAAGTCATACATCGTAACCGTTGTTAAATATGTTCTAATAGATATGAAGAATGAAGATAGTTTAATCCTTTAGTGCATGTCCAGTATTAGACAGGACTCGATCAAATCTTCCTTACCAAACCTGCTATTAATGATTGAATTGAAGGATATCATTGAGTATTGGACAGTGGAATAGCTCCACGTTGGCTTGAGAGGAGCAGTCTCTACTCTTTGGGATATCATTGGGCCTTATCTGTCTAAATACCTCAGTAATTTGGTCTTCTTGAGAAACATTAGAGCATTCTCCGATCCTTGTTGGTTGTAGCGTAAAAACTCTTTGTTCTTGGTTTTCTTGATGTCGCTCATCTCTCCATTTTCATTCTCAAATCTATAGAATCTTCATATNTCTCTCCATTTTCATTCTCAAATCTATAGAATCTTCATATGTTAAGGAGTAATCTGCTTCTAAATTGGTGATCTGATTCACTTTGACGTCATTAATTCTTGTGTCTTCAGGGATTAGATTATGTGGCTTTAAGCATGACCACTAAAGCTGTAGCTCATGAGCCTCCTCTCACTTGGATTACTCAGGTAGGTTCAATTCTCCATTTCTTTGGGGATAACATAGAAAGTTCTTATGCTTATTCACTATTTTATTTGGGTAGTTATCAGCTGGAACTTAAGAGGTTTGAAGAACTTGAAAAAATCTAAACAATTGATTCCCGTGATGCCATCATTGCCAAAAGCATTGGTAAGCGAGCAACCCTTCTTTATTTTATTGTTTTTGATATTTAGTTGCTTTATGCTCAATTCTTTATGATGTTTTCATAAATTTGCATTTTCCTTTAGTTGCCTTCTTTATTCAAGATTCATACTTGAAGTAACATCAACTGGACTTCGTCACTGTGGATTTGTTGGCTCATTTAATTTTTCATCCTGCTCAGTGTTAAGATAGAAGAGACCATTGAGTCATCAGTTACACGATACTACAAGTTTGGCCATATTATATTTGCTAATTGATGACTCCCATTAGTTCATATAATCACAACATACAATTGATCATTTGTAATATAAGTTTCGAATGGACATCTTGATCATTTACTTTATTCATGCATACATTTTTTTGGTCACGGGGAAAATTCAGACTTTCATTTACAAAATCAATATCAAATGAGCAGTTCCAAAACTAATGTAAGTGAACTGTTGATTTTAATCATTCTCCTTAAAGATGACCAAAATTAGAATTGATGAAGAGGAAAATTGAGTTTCAAAAGTTACATGCAATTATGGCTTAATTATTGAAAAATGCATCTCCTGTAGAACAATTTCATAGTCATTGGAACAGGCAAGTCATGATTTTGGAGTACAATTGAAGTTTCTATGTTGTATTCTTTTTCTATTTTTACATATTGATAAAGTTCTTATCAAAGGGTTAAGATGTTATGTTTGTTACTGTTCTTTTATGCGTCTCAAAATACTTTTTGTGTAAGTTAAATAGTTCTAGGACTTCATTAGTTGTATCAAACAACTTGCATTCATTCTTATAATATCTCATCATGTCTGAGTCTAAATGAACTGATATGTAGTACTTATGAGTGAAAATATCAAATTAGGAGAATTGAACTATTTGAGGAGA